AGGGAGACAGTTACAAGTCACCCGTTGGGTGGATAGCCACACTGCAATCCCTTCTCCATTTTCTTTCTGTGATTTTGAGCATGTGTGCACCAGTGTTGGTCATGCCACAATCCCTTTGTGATTTACAAGCTGCCAGGTCCAGACTCGAATCACACAGCTGGCTATATGGGATCTAGCATCCTAACCTCCATGCCATCTGCTGACCCAAAACTATTTATTATTATTATTATTATTATTATTGCTATAGGACACATTGATAGCCAGAGAAGAGAGATAGAAGAAAAGTGAAAAATCAATCTCTGGGGAGATGGCTGTGCCACAGTCTCTTCTCTTTCATTCTCCTCCCAGGATCTTGGGCATGCACGCATGCATACCTGGTGTGAGTTTCAAGCCACTGGGTCCAGGATTAGAACCACAGTCAGCCATGTGGGATTCCAGAGACATAACCACTACACCATTTACTGTCCTTAATATTATCATTATTACTATTTAAAGGTTTTTGCTCTAGGGCCCATGCATTTGCCAGAGAGAGAGACAGACGGATGGTGAGAGAGAATGTGAGAAATCATCTCCGAGGGGAGATGGCCATGCTGCAATCCTTTCCCCTTCATTCTCCTCCCAGGATCTTGGGCATGCATGTACACACACCTAGTGTGATTTTCATGTGTTTTAAAATTTTTTGGAAATAATTATTTAACTTTTTTCATTATTATTACTGTTATTATTTTTAATTTGACCAGAGAAAGACAGAGAGAGGGAAAGTGAGAAAGCAAGTCACCAGGTCCAGGACTTGAACCACAGTTGGCCTCGTGGGAGTCCACTGCCTTTAACCACCATACCATCTTCTGGCTCCTGTGGTATTTTTTTTTATATTCCACTTTATTATTGCTACTATTATTTTTAAACATCTGATTGCTATATATTATTTGGCTTATAAAGAGAATTTACCCAACATGAAATACACCTCAGACCAGACCAGTTGAGAATACTATATATGTTATCAACAGGTAATAAACTATTTATATGTCCCACAAATGTCTTACCTTTCTATTTTTTCTCTCTGATTTTCTTCCGTATACTCTTCCCCTCTCTTCCCCTCCTTCCATACTGTCTCCAGTGTCCATAACTATTTTCACTACTTTTATGTCCTCCAATCTCAATCTCTACTATAGAGTAAGGACATTCGGTATATATATATATATATTTTATTTATTTATTTTTAAATAATGATTTAATTTTATTCATTTATTTTAATTTGACCAGAGAGACACATGCAGAGAGAGAGAGTGAAAGTGAGAAAGCAAGCCACCAGGTTCAGGACCTGAATCATGGTCAGCCATGTGGGAGTGTCCAGCACCTTAACTACCACACCACCTGCTGGTCCCGACATTCGGTATATATTAAGTGGAGACGTACAATGTCTCTCTTTCATAGCTTGGCTTGCTTCACTCAGCAATAAATCTTCCATACTCCACCACTTTCTATCAAATGCCAAGGTCTTGTTTTTATGGCTATAGTTTTTATAGTATTCCATAGAGTATATGTGCCACAGTTTTTCAGTCCATTCATCTGTTTGTGGACATTTGGATTGGTTCCATGATTTAGCAATTGTGAATAATGCCATAAAAAACATTGATGTGCAAGCGCTTTTCTAAGTGAGCATTTTCCTGTCCTTTAGGTAGATACACAGAAGTGGAATTGTTGGATCATATGGTAGTTCTACTTGTAGGCCTTTGAGGAAACTCCATATTGTTTTTCCGCAGTGACTGAACCAATTTACATT